CTTTTTTTGATGCCACATGTCTTTTATCTCCTCAGCCAGCAGTATGTATTTTTCTATTTTTTCTCCTATTTTTTTTTTTTGTATATTTGTTGCGTTTGGTATAAATATTTCTATTAGCTGTGTTGTTTTATTCTTTTTGTCTGTAAGTGTTATGTCTGGTTTGTAGTGCGGTATGGTTTTATCTGCAGTGATGCTTCTGTTCCAGTATAGTTTGTACTCTTCGTTTTTTAGTATGGTTTGTGGTGAGTATTTGTATTTGGGTTATTTAGGTATCTGTTTCATCTTTTTCTTTTTGTTTCTGTTTGTTATCTTATTGTTTATGTGTTGTGTTAGTTGTCCTACTTCTTTCCTTAACTTCTCTATTTTGTTTTTGTAGCCTATGTTGCCATGCTGGTATCGTGATTATCTTTTGAGTGTTGGCTGTCTGTGTCCATCTTTTTTTGGAGTGCATTTTTGTGATTGTTAATGATCCTGTGTATATAAGCAGTTGAAGTTCTTCCATGGTTGTGCTATCTTTTATTCTATTTTGTATGATTTTGTTGATGTGGTCTATTATGGTGTCAGTGTTCGGGGTGTTTGGTGGCTTTTTTATGAATTGTGTGATGTGTATGTATGTGTCCTTGCATTCTATGTAGGTTAATTCGTACTGCTCTTCTGTGCCTGCGTATGTGGGTGTTTGTGATTGGTGCTGTGTTTGTACTTCTTTTTGCTGTTGCTGTTCTGTTCTTTCTCTTTCTTGTACTTCTGGATCTGGCTCTCTGTTGGTTTGGTTGTGTGTTTCTCTGTTATTGCGTGTATTGTCGTATTGCTCCTGTGTTGTTTGTGTGTCAGGCTGTTCTAATGTTTCTTTTACTTGTTGTTTGATATTGTCGAGTTCTGGTTGAGGTATTCTGTTGTTTTTAATTATTGTTCTCACCTGATCTGCAAATCTTTGTTCGGTTATGAAACTTAATTCCGGGTATCTGTTTGTGAATTCTTTGTGTAATTGCGTTCTATAGTCAGTTCTGTCTCTCTCTAGTTTTGTGACCTTGTAATAGCAAAGCATGAGGTGTTTGTATATTGCATCTGACCATCTCATTCTCTGTCTTTGTTTCCCTCCTAGAGGGGTTATTAGGAGCATTCCATGTAAAACATCTCTATTTAATCTGTTTTCTTCGTCCATTGCACTTTCTCTGTCATCGTTATTATGGTCGAGCTGTTTGTTCCCGCGATGTTCTCGACCGTCACATCGCTCGTCCGAGGCTTGGCTTCTCGTCTTTGGAACCCTCTTGCACACTTTGGGGTGGTTAACCCACCAAGTGGTTTCCCTTTTAGTCGCCTTATACGACACGCAGGGGTTACGTTGAGTCTATTCTTCCCCGGTACCTACATAAGGGTTATTATTATTATTATTTTTTTTTCTTTTTCCGAGGTCGTCCAGAATGCATTTACGCACAATAGGAGGGCGCACGAACCCTTCCTCTGTGTGGGACTCGCAGACCTTCTGTGACGAAGGCTGAATACTCACTATACTGGCAAGACCTTACTCCAGGGGACTCCCGGCTCGGGAACCGCCTTCGCATAAAAACTTCGAGCCAGGGCCACTGAGGCTTAGCCCGCGATTAGAGCTTCCTTCTGTCTTTATTATCCATCGTGCCTGTTGTCTTTACGCTCTTGATAGGGTATTACGTGGTTCCCATTAACCTTCTAAGCATCCGTCCTCCTTTTTTTTCCGGAGAACGGTGTGTACGTAGTTTGCTACAGCAGTCCAGTTTTCCTGCTTTTGTAGCATTTTATCTACGGCGTTGTCAGCGTTGAATGTTCCGAACCTTACTTCCAGCTCTTGTCACTTCCCCAACCACTGAGTGCAGCCGAAAAACAAGTGTTCCGCGTCGTCCTTTTCAAAACCGCAGTAGYTGCAGTTTGGCGTTCTTGTTTTTCCCATCTTATAGAGATATGCCCGATAGTAGCCATGGTTGGACAGAAATTGGGTGAGGTAAAAGTAAACCTCTCCGTGTTGTCGCTCCGTCCATTCCTTGACGCTTTTTATAAGTCGGGCTGTCCATCTTTCTTTGCGGCTCTCCATCCACTTTTGTTGCCAGAGTTCCCACGTACTGTCGCGGGCCTCTCTTGCGGCTTCTGTGCGTCCTTGTCGCTGTTGTGATACGTGTCGTATCCGTCACTCTCTTGCTAATAGGTCAATGGGTATTGCGCCTGCTATTACCATTATCGCATCTTCCGAGACCGTGCGATAGGCGCAGGCGACCCTTAGAGCTCCTACCCTTTGGACCTGGGCGATCCGCGTCCTCTTTCTTTCGACCTTGAGCTCCTCTTTCCATATCTCTGCCCCGTACAGTATAATGGACTGGGCAGTTGACATTAATAACCTGCGTTCTCCAGGTTTTGGACCTCTAACATTTGGCATGATCCTACTTAATGCCTTGACTCTTGTTGCAGCCTTGTCTGCTGCTTGCCTGAGGTGATCCCAGTACGTTAGCTTCCTATCTAACGTCACCCCGAGGTATTTGACTGCTTCCTTGGTCCAAATCTCCTCTTCTTGCACGTTTAGAGGGATGATGGTGTCGATTTCTTTTCTTGTCAGTAGGATCATCTCCGTATTCCTAGTCGCGAGCTCAAGTCCATGTCTTTCCATCCATGGCCCCACCCTGCGCATCACCTGGTTCAGTCGCATTTGGATGAGCTTAGTAGTGCGTTTGATTATAACTACGGCTACATCGTCGGCGTACCCGACCAGGAACGTCCCTTATGGCATTTCCTCGCGAAGCAGACCGTCGTATGTCACATTCCAAAGATCGGGTCTCAGGATTGATCCCTGGAAGGTTCCTGCTGTTATCTTCTTACGTCTTTCCCCGTCCGACGTTGCGTACGTCAGATAGCGGTCATTCAAATAATCTCTTAGTACGCGTAAGAGATAGTCCGGTATCTTAAACGCGTGCTCGAGCTCACACAGTATGTCCATCCATCTGGCTGAGTTGAAGGCATTCTTTACATCCAAGGTCACCAGCAGAACGAGTGGCCTAGCTCCGTGGCATACGTTTCTGGTGCCGAGAACTGCCTCTACCACTTTCTCCACTGCTCCTATCGTCGATCTCCCCTTCCGAAATCCGTACTGTCTATCGGAGAGGACTGCCGCGTCCTGTAATGCTTTTAAGAGGCGATTATTTAGCAACTTTTCATAGAGCTTTCCTGCTGTTTCCAGCATACATAGTGGTCTGTATGATGATGAAGAGTTTAGCTCTTCTTTGCCCTTGTCAATCAGAACCAGTCGTGCGATTTTCCATGGGGCTGGGAACACTCCCATTCGCAAGCATGCATTATACACATTCAGAAGTAGTTGCGGGTGTCTTATCGCGACAATCTTAATGACTTCAGCTGGTATACCATCTGGTCCGGGAGCTTTTCCGTTCTTCATTGATTTTGCTGCTGCCTCCAATTCCCGTCCCGTGAAGAGAGGGACTGGCCCTGTGAGCATCCTGCCTGCTTGACTTTTATTAATATTATTATTATTATTATTATTATTATTATTATTATTATTATTATTA